AAAACAATTGGACAGAAATTGAATTACAAATTGGGTCAGTGGAGTATCGAACTGAAATACCGCATTCAATATTTCGATTCAATTTAATCTAATTTTAAATAGGAAATCGAATTTATTGTTAATACCCTTGAAACTTGAGAAGCTCGTAATATTTGTCTTAAATATTTAGTGACAACTGACAATATCGTCTATTTACCGAGACCACTTAAAGCTCTACTCTACACTTAGCAATAAACACCTAGACTGTTAATTAATAGTACTCGCCGTTAATTTATGCAATTAATTAATCATTTGACTAATATGTACGAGGCTACTTCGGGAATACCGAGCATTAGGTATTCTATTATTATTATTTATTTATTATGTAGCATTCAAAAATAACCATTGCTATAGTAGGTACAGTCGCGGAATGAAAAGGTTCGTCACCTTAGTGTCGGTTTTCGCTTGCACTAGGTACTGTAAGAATCAAACCTGCCAACATAACAGTGCAAGAAACAGTGCTGCTAACATTAAAATAAATATGACGTTTGCTAACGAATGGTTTTGCTTGTTTATTTTTCTATCCCATCAGTGCAATGCAATGATGACATTGACCAATTGACAATAGTTTTTTTTATTTAATAGAAATAATAATGGCAGGTTGAACCAACAAGAAGGTTTTAGTTTACAATCATAATAATCTTTTTGACAAGATAAATCGTCAAACAACTTTGATCTGAATAATTTTGAACTTTACTGACGAACAGTTAAAGATTATTTTCTCTAACTCGAGATTATTCTGTAACATAGTTTCAAAAGGTAACATGTGCTCGCGATTCGTTGAAGGAATCAATTTGAAAACTGACGAACCTTTTCATTCCGTGACTGTACATCACATTCATCAAGAATAAGAAATTCTTACAGCATTTCGTTTGGAAACTTAAATTCGTTTCTGTCGTTTGTTTTTTAGTTACTGACAATATTTTTCTCGGATTGGCCATTTGTTTCAGTTGACTTGGGACAGCCATTTAATTCATTCCCAATGTGACATTGCGACTGTTCACAACAACACCATTTTGTAATGAATTTGTTTACGTCCGTTCTTAGTGGTGATTGAGACAGATGACGGAGGTTTTTTAATTTGTTTTTTGGCCTACATCTCATCTTTTTATGACCAAAGGTAGAATTGTGTACTTTACCCGGAATCTTCCACCATAGAGGTACCTACTGGCATTCTTGCCTACTACCAAAACACACCAATGCTGTTATCGTTGAATATTGAACAAGAATATAATTATTAAGAATAAGCATAATAATGTGACGGACAAAACAAAAGTAGACATAATTATCTTAAAAATATGCTGAACAGGCGCCCGCTGCGCCCGCTCAGCAAATATCGCGACATGACACAACGTCATGTCGAGAATCTGGTTTTCAGCGGGAACCAACGCGTGATGTGTATTGTTTGAGATATCAAATAATCTGATTTAAAATTCTGAACTACTGGCATACTATTTGTCAGTCTGGATGCATATCATTAGAGTCGTCGCAATGCAGCCAAGGCTCCAATGCCTCGATGACCTACATCCCACAATGCCAGCTCGCACCGCATTGTGGACTGCTCACCTACCGCAGCCGCGCCAATCTCAGACTTTTATCAAATGCTTTATGCGAGATGAATGGCTCCAGTAATGCGACGACTGAATAACAGGTGCTGGTGACTAATGTCAGTATTAACATAAATGTTAGCTACGCTTTAACACTTGAGTCATATAAGTGAACTTAGTTTTTATTGAAAAAGGAGAACATACACACAGTAGAATCCGATTATAACGACGCTCAAGGGACCGATGATATTACATCGTACTATCCGGACGTCGTACTACTGAAGTAATTTTTGACGTTATTTCTCAATAAATCAACCAACCAAATCATAAATATGCATCGCTAAAAGCGGTCGGTCGTTATAAGCGACGTCGTACGACACGGTATTCTACTGTACCTAATACTGCATGTTATTCGTAAAATTTTGATCATTGCAGCTTCAGAAGAAAAGCGCGCCGACGAAACTTAGTTGTACTCATACAACTAAAGAGGTGCTGAGAGATACAATTACATAAGTTAGTAAAATTGGTGTTATATTTCCTATGTTGCTATCTATAAATCCTTGACGTCTTATTTCCCCTTCAAATCCAAATGCGATTTCACCTAGTCTACTTGCCATGAAATGCTAACATAAATAACTAAATTACAAACGTTATTACATTCCCTTGAATTACAGCTCCAATGTTTCTGTAGTGGTGTGAAATAAATACACATGAAACGCGGCCAAAACTCGATCGGAACCCGGCCTGGGATTGCGGTCAAGTTACTCTCACGCCTCAACAAACAAAGCAAATTACCAGATCTCCACGGTTCCACACTACAGTATTATTTTGTATGTTGTTAAACAGGAATACGTAGACAAATTCCTAAACTCGTATATTTAGAAAGAAAGAAAAAAAAATGATTCAAACACAGTTTAATTAAAGTACCTACTTATTTGATAGTTATATTTACGTACGAGTAGATCAAGCTGAAAGTTTTTAAAAATCAAGGAAGTTAGTGCTTAAGAAATAACTCTTTGGGAAGCAGTGCGTGCAGTTAGTATTGTAGATTTATCTACAGTTTTATATAATAACGACTAAATAATTAATTAGGTACTTACAAGAAACAAAATTATTATTACTTTGATAAATATTCCCTTAAACACAGGAATTTTTACATGGATGGAAATTTCCAGGTATTTATTTCGGTACAAGGAAGCTTTTTTACCTACTTACTCGTCACCAAATAACTCAAATTACACCACTAGTTACTTGTATTTCGTCAAGTTTATTTAAAACAAACATGTAGATAACATATCGAGCATTGAGTTCTACACTTCAGCGCAAAACCCCTGATGGACATACAAATCTCATCAACAAACTACGAACGGTAAATAAAACTAAGCGGAACCATCTCCATATCGGAACAAAACTCGTAACGGTCGAATCGATTCCCGGCAAAAACACCCCGGTCCCGGAGCTAGTGACGGCTAGGGCTGCCACCAAATCTGTTCTTCCCGGACGAAGTTTTCTTTTAATATTTTCCAGGAAGAAAAATCCGTGTCAAAGATGAAAAGAAATCAGTTACCTATCAATATTACCTACTTACATTTTATTAACGTGTTCTGCCTTTATCATTAAATTTTTGTTTTCTAGATAGTCAAAACCTTTTCCAGATAGCACTTTTTTTGCCCATAATAAATCTGTATCTGACGGTTAAAGTGAATAGTGAAATCAGCAACCTTTACATTTATTATGTCAAACAACTCTCTGAAACTGTACGAGGTACCAGTGAAACCGGTGTACTACGAGTAAATATAATTTCAGCTATATTACAGGAATTGCTTATTGTGCATGTCAAATTGCCCTTTATGCCCACATGTCAGAACTTTAATTAAAATCTAGGGAAACACAGAACCGTTTCGGGGAAACCCGAGCGCACAGCCCTAGTCTGGGCGATAATCTATTTCCTTGGACTGTTTATTCATGCTTCAATTTATTGTCCCTGCACGATCGTATTTTCTAAAGAGCGACCTTATTTCTAAGAAGCTGTTTTATGTGCGACGGAAAACAACGAGAAAATGGCTTCGCCACGCGGTAATAGATGGGATTCATATTTAAATAAAGTATCCATTGCTATTTATTTATTGCGTGTGAATGTAATAATGATTTATAAGGTAAATTATTATGGTATGGTAATATTTAGCGTCTTGTGATATTGGACGCATTATAATAATTGGGTATTCGTCTCTATTTTTATGTCGTGACATTATGCATCTATCGAATACTGACCAGTTGGTTTCAAGACTTTTTTTAGTTACCTATTAAGTTTACAGTTAACTATTAAAAACAAGTAGCGTCCCAGTAAACTTACGAATAATAACGTAATCCATTGATCATAACGGCATAACCAAACTGGGTCGTATAAATAGCCCGGCTAAGAGGCAAAGTGTATTCTAAAGGTATAATGATTGATCGTGTCACCAACCCACTTATTATTACAGAATGAATCAATATTGAATGGAACTGAAAGTCATCGTTCTTTACAATCAGAGATATTGATCGATCATTATGTGTTTACTATAATTACGTAGGTACATACTGTTCAGAGTTCCGACTTTAGTTTTGAAATATGAAAACCGCAGTTAGAATTTTGTTGTTCCTATGACTAATGGTAGCTGTTCGGTTTCGTTGAAAACTCATCTACTACAGTTTGTTTTAAAAATATAGTCGTATATCACGTAGCTTTAAAATATTTGTTGTTTCTACACACAACCATAAAATAGATAGGTAAACAGGAAAATCAGGCAGCAAAACTTTTTACTACACATTTTAGTAATTTACGTCCAAAAACATAATTAATTCCAGGATTAGCCATTCTTTTTAATTAAGACAACGTAAAAGAATCCACCTATTCCTTGTACCGAAAATGAAAGGGTTTTGCAACGAAAACACTGCGGTTCTACCCGTCTGGGCCCAGGGGATGCCGTCTACGCCGCCCTCAGAAATTGAGTACATGACACAAATATATTATAATCTTACGCATAGTAACAATTACGAGGACCAATTTTAAGAAATAAGGTAAAATCAAATTAACAATATTCGTTAAAATTTAAGTTCATTGTCTTCAAGTTATGTCAAACTGTGAGGCTAGCATTCTAGAATGCCTTAAATGGCTAGTGTGACTGCAAAGCCGATCAGACCTAGTTCCTTTTATTAACTTGTAAGTTTCAAATATTTATGTAAGCCAAGGACATGAGAAATAATTGTCCAGCTTTCTTCAAGGTTCGTTTGTACTAGATATTTTTAACCCACTACCACAAACGGCATGTACGGAACCGACACAGTTTCACCGCACGTGACCGTAATTCAATTCAGCACGTCACACGCACGTTTACGTCGCGGCTACGTCACGGACACACCGCGGAGCCGCTAGTCGGCGGTCTGACGCTGGCGTACGCGCTTCGTATCGCTTAGTCTCAACGCTCTCTAGTAACAAAGGTATCAATTCCATTCATCTCTTAAGTCGGTCCCCTAGTTCCGATCTTTCAAAAAGTTTGCAAACTTAGAAGTTAATTTTTAACTCACACTACCCGAAGTCGGTCCCAAGATAGTTACAACTGTGCCGGTACCCGTAGTTCCTTAGAAGAACGAAAATATTCAGACAACAACTAATGTAACAACAAAAATATAGCGCCTTACAAGGATCGAGTGAAAAGTACTTAAGGTATGCCAGTATGAAGCAATTATTTATTAGTAACTAAATGAAAACGAAAATAAATCCTGAATACTTACTTCTTGGTGTAAAAGTCTTAAAGAATGGTAGATATTGCAAATAGTACCTCGTAGGGTGTGTTTTATTGCACGTAAGTTAATTTTCTTCGACGCTAAGTTTTTGAACGATGGATCATAAATTCACTGGTGGAAAAGCATGTACAAACCGTTAGTTTTTCTTTTTAATTTAAAGAAACTAGTTAAGAGTGCTTTAAGTTCCAACTTACACAAAAAGCACTACTCAAATATGTATACCTACTTTGCCCCACAGCAAAAACAATGAAAAATTAAGTGGACGTGATTTTATTTCAGAAATTTAATATAAAATAAGCGTGTCTTTCCCTTTTAGCAATGCCTTTTAATTAATTTTATTTTTTTCCAACAGCGTTACGTAATATTTATTATATTCTACAGGTAAATTAATAGTAGTTAAACTAAATTAAGGCTGAATAATGGAAAGATGTTTTCCTTTGATTAACTAATGTAAATGAAACCAGAAACTAAACAAGTTTTTCGACAGATGGCGAAAGAAGAGTCGTGTCTGCCGCGGACCGCCGCGCTGGCGGCCGCGATTCTCATCCTGCTAAGTGGTGAGTACCTCCTAAAGTACCTCGGGATTATCCTGAGTTGCCAACTCCGGTGATAAATGTTCCCTCTGTTCAACAGTTACTTGATGCATGTTATGATTTATTCCGCACAGACGCGAAACGCGGACGGAGCCTTGAGTGCCTTATGGAGTTGTTTGTCAGAAACAAGCTATAAACAATAAAGTTTAATATTCATATCAAGTTTGCTGGAACGCGGGTTATATTTAATAACTTTACGGTATAAAAGTTACCTACGTACATTTCTAAAAATACTATTCACTCGTTAATAGACAAACAAATACATAATGAACAAATACGTATATTATTCATATCGCTATAAATGTCAATTTACTAATTCAATTTCTCAGTGATAAACATCACTAAAATTGTTGATGACATTATGATAATGTCGATGCGAGGCGGCATCAAGATTGAAAGCCCGATATAACAAGAACTTCTTCATAACTCAATAGCTCGACTTGTCGTAGTTTCGTAGTAATTCGTAGCAACAATGCTACGAAGTATCCGTAGCGTGTCGTAGATTGCTGGTGTTTTCGTAGTATATGACAATCTCATAATAGTTGCCGTCAACTTAATGCTAATAATTTAGATACGATATCAAATTTTCTTTCAGATTACCAAAAAATACCGTTTATCGTACCCTCAATCGATCGATTGTGTCGCTACAACAAAACAAAGTGTTTTGAATCATCATTTTACAAATTTTAACTCGCCACAACACGTGTAATAAAAAATTCAGTGGACATACGTACGGCCTTCGGCGCAAGTGGTCGCTCCCATGCAGCAACTAGCCTCCGGCAGTGATGTGTTTGCGAACAAAAAGTATTTTCGCGCGTTCCGAGGTAGATAAAATTTTACAATACAGCTGCTGCAGACTGTTATATTCGCAGGTTGTATTTAATTTGCATGGAAACTATGCACAGTCGTGTTCACGGCGTGTTGGCGGCAAAGATAAAACGCAGTTTGCATTTTGTTATTTAGCGGACGATTATACTTGCAAAACAGTATTTTTCATATTGTTGTTATACTCGTATGACTATTAAAGTAAAATATAAAGAAGGTAACTACCTATTTGATAATTTCAGACCTTAAAAGAAACTCAGATTGATCAATGATGACTAAACTACTAATTAGGTACAAAAAGTTTGTAAAAATTTTACCGTTGATTGATACTTATTTACAAAATAGGTAATTGGAATTACACAAATAATTATACATTTACAAAAACAATAATTACAAGTTAAGTTTTTGCACAAGCTTCTGAGTTTGTACAAATTCCTGAACCGGGATAACTCCCGCTTCAGGAATTTGACTCTAGATACTAAAGTTAACTCTTTCAACGTTATAAGGTAAAGTTACTTCCAAAATTCATAAATGAAGTAGGTTTATTCTGCAGTCCCATTATTTCCCCGCGCTTGTTAGCGAACACTTTCGATTCGATAGTGGGCGAAGGGAGTCTACCTGGATATTGCTGCGCCTGTCTGGTTGCAGTACAGTGGCACGCATAAACATGACGAGCTATTTATTTAACATTTAAACAGTATGTTATTTGTTAGATAAATGTATTTTATGGGATATTGTAAGTAGTAAGTAAATAATCACAGCCTTTTAAAAATGCTCAAACTCATTCATTTAACTAAAATGTGGCTGTACGGAGCGATATCGAGAGAGAGCGACTCCTTAAATAAAGATGAAAAAAAAAATCCTAATAAATATAATATACCTACTGAATTTTTTATAAATAGGCACTGTAGATGCTGGTTCCTATCTTTAAATAGATAACTAACTAGGTATTTAGTCTTATAAAACCAAGTATTGAGACGATGACACCCTATTTGTGTGTGACAGGCTAAACATCTTATAATAATATGTCTGGCCTTAGTCATCGCGGTATTGTTCTTCTCATAATCTATCAATGTATCAAGTAGCGCCCACGTCGCACGAGTGTGTATGAATACCTACATTAACAGCACATTAATCTTGCTAATGTTAGCTGACTATTGTGTGGTAGGTACAATACAATGAGGTCAGTTAGCTTAACACAATATCCACTTCTATCCACGCAAACACATATATTTAAACTATAACCTTAAGTCTACAAGCAAAAAGCTTACCTAGTTTGGTGTAGGTAGCCTGAGTAGGTAGATACTCCTGAATTTAAGTTGTTAAAATACCTACTTTTTATTGTAGGTGCTTACTTGATTTCTTTCATGAAAGAACAAAATTAAGAGTTTACTTTTTAAGCATTTACCTACCTACTTTAAGATCCTGAAATTGATGAGAACCTGTAAATTTTTGTGTTGGCTTAGCGACTACATATCTCTGCCCCACTTTTAGTTTTACAGCAGATTACGGCAAGCATCGTTCTTCCCTTGAGATCGCAGCGAGACGAGTTTGTCACGTGGACGTGACGGCCTTCATACATTTCTATACATTTTAAATAAAGTCCTCCAAGTTTCCGCTGATAACAGCTACGTAGTATATTATGAGCGGTTACTCGCATATGCTGTGCCAAAGCGTTTAGGCGATGCGGCTAGCTGCATTCTGAATAAATGATGGCTCCACATAGCTCGTGTTCGCTGAATTAGTGACGATTAAATGGGCCTGCTAATGCATCGGAATTACCAAACAAAACAAAAATGGATTATATGCAGTTACTATTAAATTACAAAATGTACCTAACTGATTGTTTTACAATAGGATACTAAATTGAATCAACTTCCCAAAATAAAACAATTACTTTTAGCTTGAGCTTTGTCTTCACAGTTTTACACGTAGTTTTGTACCTACATAGGTTTAACATTTTTTTTTTTTTTTATAACATTGCGTGTTTGACATAGGTACGCTAGGAACACGAGCATTTATCATAATTTGAAATCGTGTACCAAATCCCTAAATAGGTAGATACTACTTAATTTGTTGGCCCTAGTTAAAACAATTAAAGTTAAACGTTAATAAATGAAACATGCCCACATTTTTGTGTCCGAGTGTAGATGGAACGCGACAATCGTCGCCCGGAGGATTCCGCCAATATTTGCGTTGGCCGGCGACTATTAGGCCGTGGCAGTAATCAAGCGATGCGGCCAGCTGTACGCTGAATAAATGATCTCGTGTCGCTCAACAACTGGACTGTTTGTGAATGACGCGATCAAATGGCCTCGCTAATTCTGATTATGACTTTATGACTCGCGGCCAAATGACGTCCACTGCTGGACAAAGGCTTCCACAACCGGTCCTGCTCTGACAGCATAATGCATAATGAATGCATAAGGTCCACCGAGTGGGTTATTCAGAATATATTATTCTAGAAAACTTAAATTCTTAGCTTTAGCACTTGTTTAGAATTAAATAGTTAAGACAAAAAGCAACATTTCAGCAGGTCTATTAAAATCGATGTAAATTATTAACTATTCATAATTACAATACCAAAATAACTCGCCGTAGGTAATAGGTAAATTTTATTGTTATCGAGTGGAAAAAACTACAAATCACCCACTCAATGTGTGTGTGTGTGTGCGCGCACCTAATATCAAAGTCGTATAAAAATAAAAGCTATCGAAGAAAAGGACGACTGAAGTTCATGTAAAAACATTTTTCCAATATTTTTCAGACAACGTTATTAAAGAGAAAGAATAAATTGATTTTCGTAAGTAAAGCAATTAGGTATGTGAATCGCCAAGGGGAGAAAAAAAGTGAAAAATTTTGTCCTATTGTTACCTAGTCATCATCTCAGCCAGGACGTCCACTGCTGAACATAGGCCTCCCCAATGCTTTCCATGTTGCCCGGTTGGTAGCGGCCTGCGTCCAGTGGCTTCCTGCTACCTTTATGATGTCGTCGGTCCACCTTGTGGGTGGACGTCTCACGCTGCTTTTTTCGGTTTTCCTTGCTGCCCCATCGGCCGTCAGTTCTGCGTACTATGTGCCCTGCCCATTGCCACTTCAGCTTGCTAATCCGTCGGGCTATGTCAGCAACTTTAGTTCGTTTACGGATCTCCTCATTTCTTCATAGCACGCTGTGCAACTTTCAGCTTCTGTATAAGGCCTACAGTGAGAGGCCACGTTTCCGAACCATAAGTCATCATTGTTACCTAGTAAGTAGGTATAGTAGAAAACTATAAGCCTACAATATTTTCAATTATTTTGTATTATTATGAGTAGAACAAACATCCTATATTTAGATAGGTAGTAATTTGCACCATCTTGTCTAGTCCTTACCTTAAAATCGTCTTTGTTAATCTAATAGTGGTGTAAAATCTCGTTTTGCTAATGCATACACAAGATTAACTTTATTATCCTATATTTTCCAGCGTCAGGCGAGTGCCTCCAGTGCTACTGGTGCGGGCCGCTGGCGGAGCAGGTGCACCGGCGCGAGCGCGCGCCGCCCTGCGACAAGCTCTCCGACCAGGTCACAGCCTGCGACCCGGGGTACACGCACTGCGCCACCGTCGCCTCGTCACCGCGTACGTATGCAACATGTCCCCAGCGCCAGGCGCCTGCAGTGCTACTGGTGGCCGCTGGCGGAGCTGGTGCACCGCCCTGCGACGAGCTTTCCGACCAGGTCACGGCCTGCGACCCGGGGTACACGCACTGCGCCACCGTCGCCTCGTCGCCCCGTACGTATGCAACCTGTCCCCAGCGCCAGGCGCCTGCAGTGCTACTGGTGGTCGCTGGCGGAGCTGGTGCACCGCCATGCGACGAGCTCTCCGACCAGGTCACGGCCTGCGACCCGGGGTACACGCACTGCGCCACCGTCGCCTCGTCGCCCCGTACGTATCCAACATGTCCCCAGCGCCAGGCGCCTGCAGTGCTACTGGTGGCCGCTGGCGGAGCAGGTGCACCGGCGCGAGCGCGCGCCGCCCTGCGACGAGCTCTCCGACCAGGTCACGGCCTGCGACCCGGGGTACACGCACTGCGCCACCGTCGCCTCGTCGCCCCGTACGTATCCAACATGTCCCCAGCGCCAGGCGCCTGCAGTGCTACTGGTGGTCGCTGGCGGAGCTGGTGCACCGCCATGCGACGAGCTCTCCGACCAGGTCACGGCCTGCGACCCGGGGTACACGCACTGCGCCACCGTCGCCGCGTACGTATGCAACATGTCCCCAGCGCCAGGCGCCTCCAGTGCTACTGGTGCGGGCCGCTGGCGGAGCAGGTGCATCGGCGCGAACGCCTAGTAAGATCTTGCTAGACCATCAGAGGTCTCAACCATGGTGCCAAACTTATGATAAGAAAATGGGATAAACATAATTTGTCTTTATGTACCATCACCCTCTCATCGAATCCAGTAACCTCACATCGTGAAAATTCAACTCTACGGCAGGAACAGTATAGAACCCAGAGTAAAAAAACTTCAACTTTACACGGTTCGAATAATCTTCTTTGAAGTTTTGTGGCTAGACAAGACCTTGCTTGCTTCTATAAAAGACTAATAGAGATATTGTGTTTACTAATATCAGACTATGTCTCCAACACACATTTTCTTATCTAACCCACAATTCATCTATTCCACAGCCTTCGTCGAGTCCCGGTACTGCGTGAAGTTCTACCAAGACGAATGCTACCTCCTGCACTGCAACTCGACCAACAACTACCGAATGACGTGCCCCTGCCGCGGGGACCTTTGCAACGGCCCCAAAACCGACCGAGAGACCGACGCCTTCAATGGACTGGTCAAAATCGTCGCAAGAAATCGAAGACTAAAACGAAATGCCATAACATCCAGCACTTTCATCAATTCTGGTAAAACCAAAATGAATAATATAATCGAAAACGATGAACACGAAGAAAACGCTATTGTTAACGATAAGAACAACGAAACTGATGCCAACGTTACTGCTGAACAACCAACAACAGTAACAGAACCTGCATCCAATATTACTATGACGTCAATGAATACAACGCCTGAAACACAAATAGACATGAAGCAGACAACGGATGAACCTAAAATGGTAGAAAGCAGTAGTGAAGCCAGTAAAGAAATGCCGATCTCTTTAGAAGTAGCAACAACAATGGCAGAAGCTCTTAAAATAGACTCTACAACGACAAAAGCCCCAGAAATGATGATGAAAGCTGATGTAGTAAAAGAAATGGTTTCGACAAAAGCTCCTGAAACGATGATGAAATCTGTTGATGTGAAAGAAATGGTGAGCAACGAAATAAAACCAAGCATGCAACTACCTACTGCTGAAGCGCTTCAGCAAAACGACAGTCCAGCAACGACTGAAAAATCTATGGAACAAATGACTGATACCACTACACTTACTACCACGACTGACGCTTACAAGAACGGGTCGCCTATGCCACCGAAATCTAAAAACGATTCAGCAGCGGTGACCTTCAATCCTTTTATACTTATATGCATTTTAGCATTTAGTATTATTTTGTAAGTGCACTGTTATTGGATAATGAGACATTCTTTTAGAATTACAATCATGGTTATCTATTTTCTTTCTCATAACCTTAGGAAGATTGAATAGTTGTGCCGTAAAAATATGTGATAATGATCTCTATCAAATAGCTTTAAAAAGACCGCAGTTCTCATTCATCACAAACTACTAGATTAGTTAATATTAAGTATTTTAAAATCACTTTTGAGTGCATAACACAATTGTTGTAATCAATTTATTGGGAGCAAATTGTATATTGTAAATATTAGTAGAATATAATAGATTGATATTAGTGTGTAAAAAAATACAACCTATTTTCTAATACTGAATAACCTTACTCTTCGCACTATCATTCGCATCTTTTCTTTGTGCAGTAATACAGTTTCGAATCAAATGCAGTGCTGTAATAGATTGACTATAAAACACTACACGTAGGATTCATAAATGTGATATTAGTTTAGATATAGGTACTTTTAAAGTCAATAAAAATCTAATTTACACTTAGCATTTTTATTTACATAAAATGTATATCAATCAAATGTGAAGTCATACGCTTTTGATAGTTGCCTATCGTTACCTTTTGCCTCTAGGCTTTTCGCGCCCTGTGCGTATGCTTCCCTAATGTCAGACTCGAATGGTTTTTTGGGTCTAGAATGTTTTGGCGTGGGCCCATAATAGTCGTAGGTCGGAGGAGGTGCTATTTCTGAATGATCTCTTTCAGACTTTCTTTTTTGTGGCCTTATTTGTTCACCTTCACCTTCATCGTCACTAAGTTCATTTTCTATGGGCGTTGGTTCTTGGGGTTGAACAAAGTTCTTGTATTTAATGGTGTTAGCAGGTTTCTTGGTAGAAAAGTAAAGGCCTTTTTGTTCGTCTAACGCACTGATATCTCCTATATCTGGGGGCGGGGGAGCTTCCATCGGTCTTACTTCTGACCACGTTTTTGGCGTAGATGGATTTAATCCAGAAGAACTTCTACCACTTTCGTCGAAAGTGTGAACAGATTTTGAGGACGACGAACTTTTTGGTGGTGCGAATTCGTCTATGCGTTTACTTCTCTGCTGCTCTACGTATTCTTCTTGAGTCATTTCCCGGAACTTCTTGACTTTACCCTCAACCCCTTCCTTGCCCAAGTCCCATTCGCGGATGTATGCGTCCCGCAACTTTTGCCTTTCCTTCTCTTGTTCTTCCCGAAGTTTCTTTTCTTCTTCTTTCGCTTTGGCGTCTGCCTCGTTCTTCTGCTGAGTCAAGAATTCTAGCAAGCATGTGGTGAAGTCCTTTTCGTTTTGCGCTGAAAAGAGAGATTAACGATTAGGTAAGTTTCCAAAGTCGCGGGCAAAATTTTATTTATACAATTAGTCAATGAACTGCTCAACATCAACCCAGGGGTGGGTTTCATTGGAGGTCAAACTCTAGATCCTGGCTAAGCAGTTGTTGTAGTCGTGTGAAAGGGAGGTGAGATGGGGGAGACGGTGGGCCGATATAGCTGATTTTTCTTATAATTTTTTTTTTATCCACAACTAGGAAGCTCTTGGCCTGTATCCCACCTGATGGTAAGTGACGATCAGGCCGTAGGTGGAAGCGAGTTTCACCCGGAATCCTCAACCACGGAGAAATTGTCGTAGTCCAGTAGCTTTATTCACGTAACAAAACTTCATCATCATCATCATTTCAGCCACAGGACGTCCACTGCTGAACATAGGCCTCCCCCAATGACTTTCACATCGCACGGTTGGTAGCGGCCTGCATCCAGCGCCTTCCTGCTACCCTTATCAGGTCGTCGGTCCACCTTGTGGGTGGACGTCCTACGCTGCGTTTTCCGGTACGCGGCCTCTATTCCAGAACCTTGCCACCAGTTCTGCGTACTATGTGCTCTGCCCACTGCCACTTCAGCTTGCTAATCCGTCGGGCTATGTCAGCGACTTTAGTTCGTGCGACTAAAGCGACTAAAGCGACTAAATACGTGAATTAGGCCACAGGTAAGGTTTAAAAGATGGGAAAACGTTTTGTATAAAAGAAAAAATATGGCGAAGTTGCTAAAGCCCGGTCTATGAGCACATAGAATTTTGTCCAATGACCTCAAGCTATCCATCCTTATCGCTCGCGCGTAATTATATTGCTGTCGCGACTGTGCGACGGGCGCCCGCAGCGAGTGTGCGAGCGCGATAGCAACATAATTACGCGCGAGCGATAAGGATGGGTAGCTTGAGGTCATTGGACAAAATTCTACGTGCTCATAGACTGGGCTTTAGTAATATTACCTTTCGGCTCTTCCGGCGGCAAGCCAGCCCTGGCCCGCTGACGAGCGCGCGCGGCCGCGACTCTTGCCGCCAGCAACTCGTCACGCTTCTTCCTAACTGCTTCGGCTTCCTTCTGCGCCCGCAGCGTCTCCTCCCGCTGCTTCAAGAGTTCATCCATCTGCCGCCGACGCTCCGTCTCGTCGGTGCTGAAGGAGTAGTAGCCGACGCCGTGGATGCGCGCCTCTGGATAATACAAACATGAAATTAGTGTTTTACTTAATTTATTAATAAATTTCGGAACTTATCCAAAAATAAAAAAGTTTTTGTTATGCCTGAAGTAGCCAATGTTTAATAGTATGTCATTTCTTACACTTAAAGGAACAGATTAACTTGTATTACTCAATTGATCAGGTCATTGAGTATCTACTGCAGGTGCAACAAGCAAGAGGATTTTGCTTTACCCTGGCTGGGGAAACAGCTTGGGAAATCTTGATGTTTACATACATAATAACTAAGCTAAGCATAATATTTGTTACAAACCATCAAACAATAGATCCTGGTAGTGAATATCCTTGTCTTTGGCAAGCAGCTCCTTCTCTTTTTCCTCCCATTTCTCACGTAGTGACTGTAGATAGTCATTTGTTTTTTGCACTAGTAGTGGTTTTTCGCTTTGAGGAGTAGTGGTATTCGATGACTCCTACAACATAATACCAAAATTATCAATAAGATTGGTATACTTTAAAGAATTTATTTTAAATACAAAGTGTCTCTTACCTTAGTATCATCTTTAGTATCATGATCATTGGTTAAAATTTTCACAAGATCTCTATCTCTTTTCATGTACAGATCTAGGTCTGATTTGTGACACTTGCGTGTGCGACCAAGACAATCAGTGAACTCAACCCTAAAAATATTAGAAAGGTTAGTTTATTTATAACTAAATTAAATGCAAAAAGGTTACTGTATAAAATATTGTAGCATCTTTTTAAAATATTACCAATCATTGTCATCATCCTGATAAGATGCTTCTGGAACTTGTGAATTGCAATCTTCTTGTGAATCATCTCTTTCTTGCTGTTTTTTATTTTTGAAGTCCACTAAAAATCTGCCAGCCAACTGTGAGTCACCTGCACTGTCCTTCAAGTGTTTATACAGCTCTGCCTTCTTTTCTAAAGCTGCCCTAAAAGATGCAAAATTTAAGATGAACAAATAAATCCATATGGTACTTGCTGGGTTCTATAAAAGTTCTGCGTATGTACTAGTACAAATTAATCTGCGTTTGACTTCAAGCTCACCAACAATAATAGCTAAGATGGAGTAGATTGGCTTGGTAAATCCTTTCATCATTAAAAAAATCATTAAGCAATATAAAACCACTTACTTTACTTTCCTATTTGCCTCTAACTCTTCAGTGTCTACAGCCTTTAGGCTATCTTTAAAACTCTTCTTCGAGTGTTCCTTAGTTTCCTCAATACTAGGCTTTGAAGGAGCTGGTTTAAAATTCTCTATTTTATGCTGAGGCAGATGTTTCTTCTCGTAAACCTCTTCTTGTTTCTTTAGTAATTCTGCTTTTAAGCTTAATAGCTGTAATGATAAAGATAAAACATAACGATAAGGTAATTACTCAGTAACACTATGATTATTTACAATATTTGTACTTACTGATGATTTATTAAAAATTATCTTTTTTGATGTTGATTCGTTCATGTTTCAAACACATTAAATTGCTTTTATTTAACACATAAACCTTGTTTTTAGTTAGCTAAATTCATCAATAATGCCAGCTGATATACTATTTTGACAAATAATATCTGTCAGTGTCACGTTTTTTGACAATTAATTTTTTTTTTTAGTCGTATTATTTTAACGTTCGAATCATAATTTTTACGCTACCGGTACCGGAAAGCGCAACACTATTAAGATGAAGTTGACTTCAATTTGACCAACATTACAACGAAATCAAACGTCATCATTATGTTGGTGTACCTGTCTTACGTACTAAAAAAAATGCTAATTTCATGGTCATCTGACAACCATCTCACTCACAGTCGTGACGACAAAAATTTTACAACGACAAAGGAAGAATCTTTTGTGTACAAGAGCCTTGTGATATTTACTAAATCGATCATATGAAAGATTCACTTGTAGATTAAGGTTTTGGAAACTTTAATCGGTTAAACCAGTGTGCTAAGTGCGTGAAATCAAAATGTCAACTCCTGCCAGAAGACGCCTGATGAGAGATTTCAAACGGTTTGTCTTGGTTATTCATCAATCTTAGCCTAGTTAATTTCATCAATTTCAGTATTTTATACGACGTTAGACGATTCTTTATTTTAGGACAAAAGCAATAATGCTGATTCATCAAATTACATCACTGTCATTTTCATCGATTTCTATTCTGTTCTACATTTCCATTTTTACCTTTTGACTGCCATCCTCGTTGGGAGGGAGGTTTTCTATGTCGAGTACAGTGTTGTACATGCTATTTGTAGATGTAGCTACGTCACACACTTGTTTGTTGGTACACTAACTAGGTTATCCAAATAGATTCTAATTTTCAGGAAACTTACCATTTACCCTAATTATTTTCGTAAGACGCTACAAATTCTACGTTACCTGCATTACTGTTAGCGTCATGACTTTGGTGGTATTAATTCAATCAAACATTATACCTAATATCATATGACCTTGATTTGTGAATGATAGGAACTTTTGTATAAAAAACTTTAACTTTGAATACTCTACCAAAGACAGCTTTAACATTTTATCGTTAATGGTTTCAGCTTACAAGAAGATCCACCAACTGGTGTCTCGGGTGCTCCTACTGATAACAATATCATGATCTGGAATGCTGTGATATTTGGGCCCCATGATACTCCATTTGAAGATGGTACATTTAAACTAACAATAGAATTTACAGAAGAATACCCCAATAAGCCACCAACAGTGCGGTTTGTATCAAAAATGTTCCATCCAAATGTGTATGCTGATGGTGGAATTTGTTTAGACATCTTGCAAAATCGGTGGAGCCCTACATATGATGTGTCAGCTATTTTAACTTCTATACAGGTAAATGTTTATCATAAAATTTTAAAAAATTCATGCATGCACTTTTTGGTCCTAGTAAATAATATGTTTTCAATTCAGAGATAAATAAGAAAATAATAAGAATGAATGTACAATTTTGATTTTCAAGCAAAACTTCCAATAAGACATCCTAATTGATTTTGCTACCAAAGCATCAACTTATTTGTAAATTGATTCTTATTGAAGATGTGACTATAGTAAATAATAATAATAGTGTATTAATTAATTCAACAATAAATGTAATTAATTTTAATTTCAGTCCTTACTTAGTGACCCAAATCCAAACTCACCAGCGAACTCAATGGCTGCACAACTATACAAGGAGAACCGGAGGGAGTATGAAAAGCGGGTGAAAGCATGTGTAGAACAATCGTTTATTGATTAGCGGAGACACACTGGGTCTCTGACGTCAGTGACACGGGATCTGGGCTGCTGTTGGTAACGGCCAATACCTCCATGTAAATTCATTGGGACAAGTGTGTAAATTAACTCTTATATTGAGTCAATACCATTGCCAGAACTGTTTTAACAGTTTGAGCGTCATATTTAACTGTCATTATTACTCATCATAATTTTGTTAAAGAAATTCAAAATTGTATCTTTATTTTATACATGAAAACCACTAGATTTGCTTGTCTTTGACAATATACTAGATTGTATTAATATCATTACAACCACTAATATTAAGAATAGGAAAAGTTTATTACTTAATTCTAGACATTGTTAGATATACCATACTGGCATATAGCTTGTTCAATTATGTGTGAATAACTTATTTTTGTAATTAATTTCATTTTTAACACATACTTTTATAGCATAACACTGAAACGCACAGCTTCAGTAATGTAACATCCAAGTGATTGTCAAAGAATAAATATGACAAGTCCTAGAATTTACTAGCTATTCAAGTGGAAAAATTTACAGGCCTTTCGTTATGAGAATAGATATTGCATCAATTGTTTATTATGCTTTATATTTTATTTCATGTTCATAAGTTTTGAATCTTCATAATAAAACTGCCAAAATACCAGTTGTTACTACTTAACTAACTGTATTTTATTGCTAATACTGAATAATAGAACTATCCAATTACTTTTCTAAATTAACACCTGGAGGTATTAAAACTTTTAGTATACCCCAACAAAATGTTTACCTAAAAATAGTACAAGTGTTTTTATTTCTGTCTGCAATATAAAAAATAATCTGCTGCACAAAATTCATCAAGTTGTCTACTCACCTTGGACATTCCTATGGATGTTCATGTGAGCACTGTGTAGCAGTTTTCATATAAACCTATAAGTTTGAATGTCTCACATGTTTGAGGACATTTTTACGAATGTGTAATATTTTGTCTTCTAGTAAAATATTATTTTCGGTTGTATTTTTGTGTTTGTATTTCTCTATCACTTTATTAATTTCCTCTTTTATTAGTCTAACGTTCCCTTGCACGAAATTCCTTTCGCCTAGTTTCTTGAACAATTAATTATTTTAATATCAAGAATGAATTTTGATGAAAGGAGTTTCAATCAATAGTTAGATCAAGTGTTTACTCTCCTAAGATCTATTTATCTTTTTAAACAGTACAACGTAATTCTATTTTATGCCCTCACATTTTATTGTGTAAATGTTACAAGTGTTTTTGTTTTCAGTAGGTAAGTATGAATCCAGCTCTAATACTTAGTCATCAGTCTGGCAGGGAAATACTATAATATTTTCTGGGGATAATTTTTATATAAACATGTCTGTTTAGAAAAATATCTTGCTGGATCATAAAAAACAGTTTGGTGTTGGTTTGATTAGCAAGAATTTTTAGATAATTATGATTTTATATCTAATTTGAACACAAACAACAAAGCAGTTGGTACCCGAAGCACGAATAAATATCGTTCTCGTTATCATAATCGACTTTTTGTGTATGTAAAACAGAGGAATACGAATACGAGAGTTATTCGTGCTCAGGGTACAGATAAACGTGTCTTCGCTACGAGACACTATGTTGCTGCTGTGTATATTTTGAACTAGTACTTTAAATCTCATAAAGTCAATGCACACTGCGCATCAATATGGCGTCTCCTCGTGGTCCGAGCAACGTAAGTATGGTTAGAGAGTATTCTATCAAACTGATCTGGGTTCGATTCTCAGGTACGACTCACAGTGTAAAATCTATTGTGTTGTTCCCGATGTAGGAGTTAAGAGCAAGCTTGAATCTACTTCATTTATAATCCGAAAAATAAATTTAAACCTACCTACCATATTGGTTAACGTGGTGTTGGCGAAGAAGACAACGAGCGTCGTGGGTGCTGTCGTGCTGATAGTATCCCTGTTGCAAATCATTATAATGCTGCATTGTTTTGTAACGAGATTACTATTTACCTGCTATATTATTCATTTGTTTCCGGGACAAACTTCTTCACTGGTTGGGTTTTTGGCGTTCAAGCTGTAGATCCTGGCTACGGTGGGAATAGTCCCGTTATATTATTCATTTACATTCGGGTTACACACACTTAGCCATGAAAATGGACTTGAAACGTAACGAAACAACTCTCCCATTCTGGCACGGAGCATACTGCGCGGATTGCGAAAAAAAATCCCATGTAAACCGTCTTACTTAGCGCTAGCCCTTACTACTACCTACTTAAATGTTAAATTCACAAATAATATTTCATTGATATGCTAATTGGGATCACTGTTGCTTCCTTTGATTGTTTTAAGACTGTACCCTAAGCACGAGCTGTCCAACAATGAAGTATCCCACCCAGATATTTGACAGGAGGGCGCTAGTATCAATCCTAGTAGGTTAATAGTTCCGATTTTTGCCACTTAATGGACAAAACTGAATCTGAGCCCCGATTACGGTAACTTTTAACGTCTACAATCCAGACGCGTTTCTGATTCTGCAATACGATTGGTCAAAACAGCTGACGTACGCTGTTGAACGACCAATCGTATCGCAGAATCGAGAAGCGTGTCTGGATTGTTGACGTTAAAAATTACCGTAATCGGGGCTCTGAAAGTGTCCCATAAACATTTGGGTACACACGGCCAGTGTTACTATCCATTTCTGTTGTTCTCGCTCTCGTCAAAATGTTGAACCTTTGCGATAGAACGAGACGACATGATCGGGAATGGGCAGTTAACACTGCTGCCGTAGTAGGGCGCTACTATCAATACTGCTGAGCTATCAGTTCCATTTGGTAGGTACCAACTTTCGTATTCCTATTAGACAGTGGTATTCCCATTCCTTTTAAACAACCGTAGCGGCGCTGTTTTGTTTTTCCGAACAAAAAACACGATTACTTAGGTACCCTCCATAACGACAACGATCTTTATTTTTGTGCTCCGGGTACTATACTCATGAACCTCCGTTTATTTTTCTAGCTGCAAGTTTGCAAGAAACTCAGATCTAATTAGATAACAAAAACTTAAAATGAAGGATTTATTAGAAAATAAAAGAGTTTTTATCAAATAAAAGTTTATAGAAAAGATATTAATTTATATAACTTCACATGAAGTAATACAGACATAAACTCTAACATTTATTGCTACTACACCATAAAATTATATAAATAGTATTGTCTTTACAAATTATAAAATTAAGGTGGTAATTATACTTAGATACTACTAATGTAGTAGTACTAGTAACAGCACAAAAGGCAAATTAATAAATTATATTTAATGGTAAGATTATTTAGGTCCAGTCACAATCAAACATATTGGTTTCAAATTGTAAGCAGGATTGGCAGTCTTGGAGCTAACACTGTAATCGTACTTGATAATTTTAATCTGCACACAAGGACTGCATAGTAAAGTAAGTACTTCTTTACCTAGTCTTTAAATCTTCTTTCAATTTATAGTGAATTAATTCCATGCATACTGTTGCATCCTCTGCACTGTCGTGACCATCAACAGAATTTTGTATTATTTTTTTCAAGTGCTCAGAAGATAAATTTCTTAGCGCTCTTTTATAGGGTGGTCCCATTTTATGAGGGTATAATACACTTGTGTCAATCACAGTATCATGAATTAATTTGAGCGCTTTAAAATCTGACTCTAAGCTGTGACCTATTAGAATTGTTTTACTATTAAACATAGCAAGCAGAGTAGCTTGAACTTCCAAAAGTGTTGTTTTAACTTCTGCCATCTGCTCTTCTGTTATCCCTGAATACCTTGTATTGTAATCAATAATAGGATGTAATGGTTTTACAAGAGTCTCATATATCACCTTACATTTAGAGTTAATTACAGTTACCCTGGTCAAATCTAGGCCATGTGTGGTGTAGCACATTTCACAATCTAAAGAATATACACCATAATCTTCCATTTCTTTTTCTGGTGGTAAAGTTTTTACAAATCCTTTTAAATTTTCAAAATCTACATATTCATAAACATGGCACGGCGCAATGCAACACCCGTCCGACATGCCATCTTGACTACAACACTGATATTTGACCTCTCCACGTACTCTATATTTTCGATTAGGATGGTAAATACATTCCTCTTTAATGCAAGGAAAACCTTTTTTATCTACAGTGAAATCTTTTTTACATCGGCAGCATGTCCTGACAAATCCCTTGGGTGGTGTTTGTTTATTTTGACCATATATTATTGCTCTTCCTTTATTCTGATTGGGATGCGGTCTAGGAAAGCCATTTTCCTGCAATTGTTCTTCTGATAGAATCCACTTTTGTATGTTGGTGTAAAGTTTAGCTCCATGAAACTCTTGTGACTCCACTACTCTTCTGTTTTTATTTTCAATACTCCATGATCCTGAGTTACTTGACTGCCCAGACACATTCTGTGGTAGTTTTTGTAAAGTTGAACAATCAAGTCCTGTCTTTTTTATTCCATTACATTCTTGCAACTCTTTTCTTAGCCTACTAACAGTCATTACTGCAGAGTTTTTATATATTGGAACAGTAGTGCATTTTTTACTAGTTGTTAGTTCTTCATGTTGAGCTCTAGCATAGGCATCAGTTGCAGAAAGGTAAATTTTTAAACAATCATCTATCATCATATTTAGGTATGTTGATCTAATATTTGCTGGAATCTTTGATCCAAGTGGTTCTAGGACTCCTGGCCTATCAATAAATTTCTCATTTGGAACATGAGAAACTCGCTGGGACCCTTTTTTCACAGTTTGTGCTATAGTTGAACTAGTGGATGGTTCACTTTTAACATTAGTAATTGGTGAAATATTCTTTTTAGCATTCATTAAAGTAGAAGCATAAGGCACATGTGCAATACGAATCTTAGAGCTACTGATATTTGGAACACCAAGAATGTTTTTTCTGATATCTACTTTATTAGAATCCTCAACTTGAGTCTCTGTTTTAATTTTTGATGCATGATATTCCTTCACCTTCGCTAACCTTTCAGCCATAGCCTGAGCTGCATTGAGTTTGTAGTCAGGTTTTACAGGAGGTTTAGGAATTACTTTAACATTTTTTTCTACTGTCCTTGATATTCTCTTTTTACTTGGAACATATTCATCTTCATTGTTGTCCTCTACTTTTGTTGTTTCCTCAACAGGTTGGGTTATTGGCGTTGGAACATATTCTTCAAATATCCTTTTACATTCTAAAGTCCTGCTTTCTTCATCGGAGTCTGATATATCACATAAATCTTCATCATTTAATTCAATACTTTCATTATGACTGTTGTCACTATCAGCCCAACCATTGTTAGATACTGATTCCTTATCTTTTTTCTTCTTCTTTTTGCTTCGTTCCTTCGACTCTTTTGACCTTTTATGACTTTTGTGATGCTCACTTTTATCTTTATGTTTCGTCTCATTTTTACTTGAGCTAGAGTGTTTAGAATGCTTTTCTGTACTTTTGGAACGGTGTTTATCTTTTGAACTCTCATGGGACACTTTAGTACTAGAGTGTTTTTTATTGTCACTGCTGTGTTTGTCTTTCTTATCATCACGAGACTTGTGTTCTTTTGTTTTATGGTCTTTACTGGAACTTCTAGAACCATCTTTACTGGAACTAGATTTTTTATCTTCACTCCTTGATTTTAATTTCTCTTTGTCATGTTTTGAGGTATCTGTATTTTTATCTTTATCATATTTTTTTTCATGTTTACTGTCATGTTTTCTTTCATGTTTACTATCATTTTTACTTTCATGTTTACTATCATTTTTACTTTCATGTTTACTATCATTTTTACTTTCATGTTTACTATCATTCTTACTTTCATGTTTACTGTTATTTTTGCTTTCATGTCTACTGGATTGTTTCTTACTTTCACTTTTGCTTACTTTAAGGCTTTCTTTAGGTTTTGAAGATAGTTTTTTGTCATCTTTCAACTCCTGTTTGTTTCTTTTTAAGTCTTGAACTTGTGGATTTTCTGTTTTTTCTTCGTCCAAAATTTGATCTAATATATCGAACTCAGGGCCTAAATCATCCAGCCCATTGAATTCACTAGACATCTTCCTCTTTTTATTATCTGGTTCAGATTCCTCATCGCTAGAAAAACATGGAGCCAAAGATCTTGGTGTTGGTTGATAAGTTACTGTGCTGCTCTCATTCTTTGTTGACACTTTGGTAGGTTTGTATTCCAAAATCTTTTTCTTATTTACACTCCTATCTGAAGGTACATAGTTGTGTTTAGTGGTAGTTGGTTGCGTGTTTTCATTTGGTTTATATTCCTGCAATTCGACTTCTGAACCAGGTAGATACTTTTCAGTGGAATCTATTCCACCCTTGGGCGTATAAGGATCAACTGGCGCAGAATCAGTGCTCCCTGGCGTATATTTAACGGGCGGTGGTATGTATATGAACGGTTTCGAAGCACCATTTGTGTCTAAAGGCCTTCTTACTGGTAAACTAATAGGCTTTCGAGGTGTGTACGGAACCGGAATATGTCTCTTCCTCTGCTCGTTAATGTCATCCTTATTCTCGGAATCTATGTTAGTAATCTTATTCAACTCCGATATTGGTGTAGGATTGTATGTGACTTTGGAAACTGTTTGTTGAATACCAGTTTTAATTATATCAGCGGCAGGATCTAAAGGTAAAACTTCTTGAGGAGAGACTGTTCCTGAGGCGTCGGTCTGTTGAAGGACTTTTTGTACCGCTGCCGACACCAGTTTCTGAAGAATTGCTCCACTTTCTTCGTTGGCTCCATTCTGAGATTCTTTCCTTACATGACGAAAATGACAATAAGGTCGCTCACACAGTCCACTATCATAAAAAGGACAATTAATACCTTTAAAATAACCAGTAGAAGGTAACATTATTTTGTTATTTCTTAAAACAAAGCCATAAACCAAAATTCAACGCTGCACACAGAAAGCCCAATTTGACAAGCAAATTTTAACACTTGTTTTTTTTTTATTATTGTATTAGTCATGGAATCAAATGATTAATCATTTTAAATAATGCTATGAATATACCTACAGTCAGTCGTCACATTAATTATTATTTAATCTTAATACAAGTAATTTTTTAAAATTTCAGTCTTTTTTTAACAGCAATATGAATTTATAAAGCCGGTTCTCCAGCGCGTGTTCTGCCTACACAATCACCAAAAACATCTCAACGCCACACCACCACAGGCCACACCTGTGGCGCTGTGGGCCACACTGTTAACTAATATCCATTTCCGTTTTTGCTCTAGCTCTCATCAAAATCAAATGGCGATTCTTTGCGATAGAACGAGACGACATGACAGGCAATGGATAGTTATCACTGTTGCCGATGCAATGGTACGTTGACATCTTAGATTTTTGACATGTTTTTGTTGATTGTGTAGGGCAAAACACGCGCTGGAGATCCGGTTTAAAGCATTTTTGCATGCTTATAACATGTTGGATGGAGATACTGCTGTCTTTTCTCTTAGCCTAGCCTATCAGCTGATTCTTCATACAAATTAGAATCAGGCCCACGCGGCCACGGGCCTAGGCTTAGTCATTTTTCCAGTCCCAGAGAAACCGACTAACCATGACCATAATATTATAGATGACCCACGCTGAACTGTCCCGCCAAACTCAATGACAGGGGGGCGCTACCATCGTTCAACTATATGGTTTCCAACATGGCAAAAATCGGAACCAGCGATTCGGTATTGACGGTGGCGCCCCGCTGTCAATGTCATCGACAGGACAGTCCAGTATTTTGGAACTATAACGTAAATCTAGTTTAAAGTGGGAACGAAGCTTAAGACAGTAAATTTTTTTTTTTTTTTTGGCTCGCACGGCTTGTGCATTTGCCACGACAAAGGTAGGGAAACGAAAATGTAGGAAATATCGGAATTTCGGAAATTAAAAAGGATAGGATCAATATAGGTAGGTAGGTAGATGTAATAAGATATTAAAAATATAATTTAAAACATATATGAGGTACAAAGACTAAACCTTTATATCATTTTTAGATAGGAATAAGGAGATACATTTATAAATATCTTGATCGTTTGTGCATAAAAGGGTATTAATACAAGTGGGAAAAGGGACACGGAGGGTTAACAATGAGGACATAAAAAAGGAGCGATCATACTTCGGACAGGAAAACAGGATGTGATTAATATCACCTACTTCAGAGCCACAATCGCATAAATTACTATCAATGATTTTAAGTCTGGCTAAATGTGCTGGCGTACACGTATGCCCTAACCGCATGCGAATGAGAATAGAGGTGGCTGTCTTATCGAGCGTCGTTCTGAAAAACCAAGGTTTAACCGGGATATTGGGCTGTATACTCTTATAATGCTTCCCTTTAACCAGGTCACTACTGTTCCATTCACCTTCCCAAGCTTTACGAAGATAGGATTTAGGAAGGGAAGCTAAATCATGAGAGAAGTTTTTATATGGGAAAATATCTCCACACTGTACTGCCTCATTTGCCATTTTATCTGCTATTTCGTTACCGGGAATATTACTGTGAGAGGGGATCCAGGCAAAAATTACCTGAAAACCATTCAGTCGGCATTTGTTAAGTAATATTCTACTATCAATAATTATTGGAAAATTAATATTAGCTTTAAAAGGGAATTTAGCAAAAGCTTGTAATGCACTTTTTGAGTCTGAAAAAATTATGGACTTTTTAAGTTTCATGAGTAATATATATTCTAATGATTTGTATAAACCATAGCATTCACCCGTAAATACTGACGTCTCAGGGGGGAACATCTTTTTTTGATTTATTTTGTACTGATAATGAAAGACTCCTACGCCCACGTTACCATCAGGTGAATGTTTCGAAGCGTCACAATAAATATGGTGCCAATCATGCCAGCCATTAGATTCTAAAACAAGGTTAAAAGTAGAGAAAGCAGAACTACCATATTTTGGAATATCCAAGTCGAAATAAATGTCAGGGGAGAGAATTAGGGATTCATAATTGGAGCAGAACAGAGGCATGTATGCAGATCTATGGCTAGGAGCTTGTAATGAAATATATTTACGAAAACTTATGACAAGGCACGGTGTAGTTTTATGAGTCCAATAAGGTACAGAGTCTACATATTCTGACAAATCTTGCAACTTAGAATAGAGAGGATGATTAAGAAATTGAAATGCACGAAATAGATATTTATCACTTAAAAATTGCCTTCGAAGACTAAGGGGAGGCTCAACACATTCAATTTGGACCGCATTATTAGGACTAGACCGCATTGCACCAGTGACAATACGAAGGGCTTTAGATTGAACAGTGTCAAGTTTGCGCAAACCCACAATGCTACAAGGTTCCAAAAAGAAAGACCCATAATCTAGAACACTTCGAATAATAGCGTTATACACAGACAGTAAAATTTGTTTTTACTAAATTATCTGCTCGATTAACTTTTAGAAGAAAATAAATAGTGTACCTTCCAAAATTAGTTATTAACAACATTAGATTAGATTAGATCAACAAATCCCTCCTCCCGTCTCATCTGTGCCTCCAGCGCACATTGGTTGCGTTCAGCCGATAATAAAATAGCATTGTTAGAATTTGCTAGCAATCGCCATTTTGATTGCCATGGCAACCTCCAAAATTATAGTATGTTTTCGGCTAGGGCCTAGGACACGTTTGTTATACTTCAGTTTCCCATACATTTGACAGTGAAAACACTTACCGCTAAAAGGACGCCATTTTATTTTCTAGCGCTAGCCAGCGCTATTATTTTCCGTCAAACGCTCCCATTGTCCTTGATACTCTGTCTGTGTTGATGGCGCAGTTTTGCAATGATTTCAAATCATGTCATGGCTATTTGAATTTCACAACTATTTAGCAGGCCTAAACTACAAGCATGTCTCATTGCAGGCATGGTGTTTTTAACTTATTGCCGTTTTAAATACTAGTATTAAGTTTACGTCATGGAATTTTTCATAAAACTTCTCCACCTTTGTCCAACTTCAGTAAGGCAATTGTCAAAACTTGTGACAGATGTACTTGATAAAATTGTGAGCTTGCTTGAATTTTTGTATCCTGATTTTGATGTGTGATATCAATTAATAACTGCAATGCTAAACGAAGTGGTCAAAGATTACGCTGCGTACATAAAACTGGATGTGTCCAGTGGATTTCAGACTGTGCAAGATGTAATTGACAACATGCTAACAAGACTTGAAGAATTATCTAGTGTCTTGCAAATGATACGGATCAAAAACAGCGAATGCAATTCGGCTGTGTCAGAAGATATTATTAAATATCGACATGAAGTAAACACTCTATCAAAGAAGATTGGTACTCTTCATGAAGTCATAATGAAGTTGTACAAAAATGTTGACCTGCTGGAGAAACAAGTGGATAGAGCTGAATCGGATTTTGGTATAACTAATGACAATAAACTAAAAAGTCTGTTATTGCCATTCTTAAAGAGAAATAAGGAACCTACACCTGTATCAAATGCAATAATGGTTCCAGAGAAGATAGCATTGGAAAGTGTACTAGATAGTTTTGAAGATAATGACGTGTCATGATGGCAAATCTTATTAAACATAGAATTATTTAAATCTTGTTTAATTTCAATAACTTAACCATGATTTGATTGTGAAATCTAAAAGCTCTTATCACCAAAACAAAATATACAATTATTTGAAAAAAATAAAATAAGTTTAATCTAAATTCAAAAATATTCATGATAATGTTACTTATTTAACCTGATATTTTATGATCCTATTTTCTGATTTACTATTTATTTTGGAATCTCTACAATTGTATACTAAGTAGAGATGAAACGGATATCCGGCCTAAATTTACTATCCGGCCGGATACCGGATATTAAAAAACTACGACAATTTTCTATTAATAAAATGAAGTACATTAATCTTTGAGGTAAATATGAATAAAATGGCTTATAATAATGACGGCTTTTATTTAAAGTCCAAAAAGTTACAAAAAAGCCATTCTTCAAAAAGCCTTTCAAAAAACAAATTTCTTTATCTGGGCTATTCACACTAATGACGAATACATAAATACAGGGTGGCCCAGAAGAAAATTCACTTTTGAAAATTGAAGGAAACGAAAACTGTACATTTTTATAGAACTTTAACTTTTGCAATTTGAAGGAAATTTAATGCAATATATTTTTAAATTTACCTTTATTAAATTAAATCGCCTAGGAGATTTCCTTGACGCTTACAACATTCGATCAACATACATCAAAATCTTGAAATGCGTTCGTTAGAATTACCTCGAAACCTATTTTCAATTTTTTGCCGAATGCTCAGCTTCAGTTGCTGCATGTTTGTTGGATTATAAAATTTGTATAGGTACTCTATTCTTAATGTAACACCACAAAAAAGAATTTTCTGGAGTGAGATCAGGGCTTCCTGGTGGCCAGGAGATGTCACCCCTGCCTGAAATTATTTTTTTGTGGGAACTTGTCTCTTACCATCTAAATGCTCTCATTTGAAATGTGACACGTAGCCCCATCTTGGTGAAGCCAAGTGCTCCGGTCATAGCCTTGCGAATCTTGCAGCTTTAAAAATCAAAAAGCTTTTCAGCCTACCAGTATAGCATTCTCAAAAATTAATCATCCTTTCAATGCAACAAACCAATGAGGATCAGTACTGTTGTAGAAAATTCAATAAAACTAGTATCTACGTTAATCTTTAAGACATAAGAAAGATATATCTTTTTGAATTATCCAAATCGGACCATTACTTACGAAGATATTAAGTAATAAACATAGGCCGTTTTTGCCGCTAAAAGTCAACGTACGCAGGGCCGCGTGACGTCACTATATCCGAATCGAGCGCAGCCGGCGTACTATTGGGATGGAAAATATTTTTTTCCAGCTAAACTATCAGTTTTAGAAAAAAACTTTTAATAACATTTATTCATCAAAATAAAGTAACCTATCGATCAGTAATTTTTAAAAATAAAAATTGTGAAAAGTAAGTATCGCTATGTCCAAAAACCACATTTTCATAGGATTCGATGCAATGCGGAGACGCGGTTGGGGTGAGTGTAACTTAATAATTGTTTGTATTGAACATAATAATACATAATATTATGATGGATTTTTTGCGTTATTTTTCACAATTTCTATTTTTAAAAATTACCTATCGATAGCTTACTTTATTCTGATGAATAAATGTCATTACAAGTTTTTCTCTAAAACTGATAGTTTGGCTAGAAAAAAATATTTTCTATCCACGCAGTACGCCGGCAGCGTTCGGATCGGATATAATGACGTCATCGTCCCCGCGCCGGGCGGTCAGTGAACTTTTTTAGTAATTTGACCATAACTTCGTCAATTTTTGTCGTAGAACAAAAATTTTTGGACTGTGTATTAAGGATTTCTTAGCCCTATAAATCTGCATTAACAGCTAAAAATCGAAATGATCCTCATTAAGCAGGGATGAAATCTCACTGCCTCTAAGAAGCGCTAGTCTCATTACAGTAGACTTCTTTTTGCGGGGTTACCTTATGAGCAGAGTGGGTTCCCTACGTTTTATCGAAAGTCGTTTCATCGAAGGTCGTTTCATCGAAGCCGTTTCATCGATTGGTCATAATCTCGAACGTACGAAATATCGAATGCCGTATCATCGAATGGTCGAATCATCGAATGTCTTAGAGTCTTACCCCCTTACTAATAAAAAGTTACACAGTTGTTGAACACTGTTTTAAAATGACATTTCCATACTAAACGTCACTTTAAAACACTGTTCAACGAGCGTGTAAGTTTTATAAGTAACGGGGTAAGTGTCGAAAGGTTGTTTAATAAGTATCAAATATGGCAACATGGAAGGTGACGTCAGGCTGACTTGCACCAACTTTAACTGTGACAAACGTCAAAAATCTGTCAAACTCTAACATAAAACACCGGTTAGGTATCGTCATAGATACGGTCAAAGTTAGGTGGTACAAGTTAGCCTAAGTTAGTTTAAACCTAGCTTTTTTTCCGTTACTTAAAATATCCAACTATCAAGTTTTTTTTAGTGACATGTGGTTAAGTATTATGTTAAGTATCAAGAAAATGCGTTTTCAAACCACCAAAATAGTAAAAGGGCGGTAAAGTGATTTAAATTTAGAACGTCAAAGTTGGATTTCGCCCATGAAGCTAAAGATAAAAATGGAGGCCAGACTTGGAACAAAAACTTGAGTCAAATACCTACTTATCTCTATCTCGCTCTCTGTGGGCCGACCTCTCTTTTTAGTGTGGACTGTAGTATTGCTATCTCCTTATTTAAATCTCCTAGTAAATTCTTCGAAATAGCCAATTCACTAACCAAATCAGAAGTTAAACAAATAAATAATTAAATATTGAACTACAATTACCTAGTTGAATTAAAAATCACAAAATTGTCGGCCGTTTAGGTTTAATGTGTTGGCGAATCAGGAAATTACAATCCCAATTCCTGGGGAATCGGTACCATGTGGCAACATCGGCCCAATCCGGCCCATCATGGCGGTTGTTTACTATTTTGTTTATGCAGTTAATTTCGTTTGAGATTGTTTACAGGACATAATTCACAAGAAATGGTGCAAAATTTTGTAGTGCGTGGTTGCGGTAGTACGTGGTGTCCCGGAAGTCACTTAAGATTCCACGCGTAAGTGTTTATTTGGTGATTTCCGACATTGGATCATTGTAAACATTTTTTACATTTTTCACAGTAATTTCTTCCTAAAACGTTTTACCAGTATTTACACTTATCATTTAATGATACCTATGTCAAGAAATAAAAATTTTACATTGAGTTTCATTGACTTTGAGCAAATTTGTATTTTTTGTTTACTTAGAAAGAGAGAGTCTGCCCACAGAGAGCGAGATTGTGCTTCAAGTAGGTATTCGGAGTGTGGCCTCCATTTTTATCTATAGCCAGGCCTCCGTCACTCGCCTATGCCGGCCGAGATAATTACCTACAGCGCGCGACAACTTCAAGTTGCAAATCAGTCATGGCTGCCACGCGCCTGTGTACACACGCGTACCTATACTCGCTCAGTCGATCATCGTCGCAATCAAGGTTTATTGTTCCAACAGCACTGTTATTCGTCTTTATAATGGAAAATCGTAATATTTAAAAATAATAATTAACTGTAGTAATTTAAATAATTAAAAATAACAGCATTTTTTTAAAATAAATTTGAAATACTTATGGCAAAAAGCTATAGCAAAAACATTATTTTAGCTAATAAAACATTAACTTTACTTTACCGTGTCTATTTTCCGACACTACACCTTTTAAAACTGTTTGTCCAATTTCGAATTATCGCAACACTGAAGTTTATTAATAGGTACTTTGGAGATGGTACGAAATACAAACACCACTAGATTAACGTTTACTAATCGTAAATACAATAATTGCTTCTCAATATTAAGTTTTTATTTATTTTACTTTGCTTAAACAACCCTGACGCTTGAGCTGCGAGGTAGATCAATTCTGATCACAAAAAAATTGCGCTCTTGTGAGCGTAGTAGTAAGGTGCGATTTCGAATGCACCAGGTGACCAGGTTCGTTGGAAATTTTGCATTATTATTATTACCATTAAAATGTCGGCATCTGATCCTGATCAAGGGAGTGCAATTTCTGTTGCTACTATTATGTATTCTGTGCTATAGCTTCATGATTTCGCCGTATGGATGTATTTTTTTTTAAATTTAGTTTGTACTAAGGCACTAAGGCTAAGGCGTGAGTGCATCATACATCCAGGTCTGGTGGCCGAACGCTTTTGTGTTATAGTTAATAGCTATTTTCACTTTATAAACACATTTTTTTTATCGATGTCATGATTAACTCCCTTACTATTAAAAAGTTACACACTCGTTGAATAGTAGTTTAAAGTGACATTGAAACTAAACAGGATATGGAAAAGCTCAAGAGTTCGGTCAACCTGGTTAACTCGGGTCTCACTGTCGACGAAACCAACAAACGCAAACCGCGCATTATTATTATTGGCGTGCCCTGTTCCATGGCTGAAGCGGACGTCCTCAAGTGCATCTATGAACAAAACCTGGCTGACAAACTTCCAACAATGTCACGTGATACTTTTCTGACCTCAATAAAATTGAGCCATAAGTCCGGAAGAAAAAATTTGGAAAACACAAATTATGTAATAGAAGTACCAGCCGTCATTCGTAAAGCTCTAATCTCACAGGACAGACTTTTCATTAACTGGACATCATGCCCAGTTAGAGACTTTACACTTGTAACAAGATGCTTCAAGTGCCAGCAATATGGACATGCGGCGAAAACGTGCAAAGCCGCCTCTCCGACCTGCGGCCACTGCGGGGAAGATGGCCACTCAATCCAGGAGTGCTCGAAGAAAGCGGACTCGCCTAAATGTGCGACCTGTCTACGTTTCAAGAAACCCTGCGGCCACAAGACAGGTGACACAGAGTGCCCGGCAAGAAAAGCGGCCGAAAACAGGTACATAAATTCTATAGACTATGAAGGCGCCTAAGAGCGCCACATAATTTGTTTATTTTTAGACCTACACATAGTATAAAAAGTTAGAAATATGGATGTAAATATACTAAACGAAATGGATGAATTATCTGTATCCG